TGCATGAAAGCCATTCCCACTTTTCTGCTCCCCCTACAACGAAAAGTCCCCCTGTTCCACGATACGAAATCTTTTTCTCTGCTCTTGCCTCACAACGAGATTCACTACAACGAAAACAAGCCTTCCGCAAAAGTCTAATCCAACCTCAGCATGCCACAGCGACCTCTACTGCTTCGTTCGGAAACGGCAACAGCAACCCACCACACTGGTTTACACATGCGCAGTAGTGCAGGAAGTATTTGTTTCAGACGCAGCACGAACGTTGCATTGCTGAAATGGCGACAAAACGGACCTTTGCATACCAAGGAGTTAAGAAAAGAAAAGCTTTAACGCTTGAAGACAGGATAAAGGTAATAAAAATGAAAGATGGAGGAAGCAAAATAAAAGACATTATGCAAGAAATTGATGTAAGTGAAAGTAAATGCTGATTGTAAATTTCGCAATTTCATCCCTTTTTTTCTTTCTACGCTGGCTATATGAAGTGTCAAATTAGTTTATGCTCATACTTATGCACTAATGGAATAAAAATAAAAAGTACACATATACGTTATTTGTGTGTGTTCGTGTTTACGTCTGAGATAAAATTTGAGACAGTGAAAGGTCCCCTGTTGTGAAAAATTTCTTGCTGCAAACATGATTTCGTTGTACAGGAGTTTCTCTGCAGTGAGTGCATGAAAATAAAAATGAACCTTTAACCCGTTCGGTTAAAGCTTGTCATGTTATCAGGTTACAGGGTGCATGAAAGGGTTAATAAGATTTATGATAATTAGGGTTAGCAAAGTGCAGACTGAAGGGCTTGTAAATGTCAAGAGCATCTGACGGCTGATTTCGGGCCATCCATTTTCTGTACCGCACGAGAATAAATGATTAATGCAGCTCACATCACGTGTTGAGGAATAACATTCCGAAGGTAGAGATTAAGTAATATTTCTTTCGAAACATAAACTTTAATGATAGCGTATTGAAATCCTAAGCAAACTCTCCCAGTGTGACGCCGGTTCTATAGAGGCGGCCACGTTGAAAGATGTCAAAGAGAGCCAGTTTTGGAATGCTGATACGAAAGGCACAGCGGGGAGCCAGGCAATCCTTTCTCCACACAATTTAACAATTTCAGAGTGACCTCCGCCATTTAAACTTGAGAAGGGAGGCATGCTGTGGAGAGGGACGAGGTGAGCGGTGAAATGAAGATCACAGTGCCCTCAAGCGACCCCGTTGAGGGCAAAGATTCCCCTTCACCAAACCTGAATCGCCTGCTTGGCTACAGTCGCTCCAGTCGAGTTCAGAATGCTGTTTGCTTACAATTTCTTTTTAAACGAGCTGGATTTTAGTCGAGAAAAGCACTGTGCATTTGTCAAATTCAATATGTTCGTTTCGATTTTTGTGACGCTCCAAAGAGCGTTCCGCACGTCTCGGGAAGGGCACCCACATCTGTTGCGCATTAGGTGCCGGCCGTCAACATTGTTGCCGGGGACCTAATTTAATATTTTCTCTGTTTTGATCTTCCACCTTTAATCACTGGCTCTTGGGAGGATCGGCTTTCCCCGAGAAATTGTTCGAGAGCAGAAAGCAAATGTTATTCCAGTATGTTTATGGAATCATGCATGTGAAGAGAGGACTCGCACACAAAGAAAAATGCTTGGCCGCCGCGTCTGACGTGGGAGAAAACCGCAATCGGACCGTAAGCAGTCAGGACATTCCAAAACTGGCAATTTAAATTTCTCCACTGAGATGGTTGCGGATGATATGTGCAATGCGAGTGAAACAGCAGTAGGGGGGGAAGAGAGCAGGGGACCCGCACCGCAGGATAGAATAGGGTTTCTTTGAATCAGCACCGCCGCTTTTTATTAAACCACCATTTCTAATACCAATGTAGCATAACCGAACAAAAACGCGGTTGTGCGCGACTGAGGTGAGCGGGCTCATGTTTGATGCTTGACATCAGGCCCAACTTAAAGTCCAGACTCCCTGAGGGAAATGTAAAGTGCTTCTTCAAGGCCCTTTGAAGAGGTTTGTTTTCATGGCGCTCATGTTAGGCAAAGGACTCCTTGCTGCCGTCATGACATCGAGAAAAACCTTTTTGGGGAAGGCGGGGGGGGGGGGGGGGCCAACTGTCCTTTGCCAACCATTGATATATGCCTGCACTTCGTTGGCACCCACAACAGAATGTTTCTGTCACATTTTCTGTCGTGTTTTTCAGTCAATGACAAAAGACTGAATTTTTAAGAGAGCATTAGTTCGCTACACTTAACGCTGACGTCGCAGGAACATTGAATGAAGGTTCATTTAACTATCAAACGACACTGGCCTAGGGTAGCGTCTTCAGAAAATACAACCTCGTCACCCCGTACCTCGGGGGACATAACGAATCTTTAACCATTTCCCATAAAATGGCCGCCAACTACGATGTATAATACAAGATCAACATTTATTGATGTAACATGAACATGTGACACAGTATAAACATGTCATTTACAAATACGTGGATACAGTATGACGTAAAGATAATTTTACAAGACATGAAAAAAATGAGTGTAGCGTTCCTACTTCATCTCTGAAAACAGTCAGCAGGAGGAAAAAAAAAAGGTCAACCCATTCGGTTGTGTCGACGACCAAAATTGCACAAAAATGTATGACTGGGATTAAACTTTAATTAATAATTTGAAAAAAATATTTGCAATGTCCGGAACTTGTTGCTGCGGATCACCGGAGGCACGTCCAACCCAACAACAAAAATGTGACGTCTCACATGACGCCGGTTTGAACTGTTAAGTTTCAATTAAACAGGCACAGCGTTCTTTATATTTTGGTTTGAAAACTGAACTGGAGGATTGCAGAGGAATTTTGGTGTCTCAGGTGGACGTGTCAAACACAGGTCATGAAATCATTATGCAGCTTCCCAGCTGGACAATTCAGGCAAGTTGAACGCTACAATAGCACAATCCGATCCAATCTTAATAATATCAGCCGCAGACCCTGATGGACTGACCTCTCCAATGTACATACTGGCCCACTTTCGATGCTTTGATAATCTCGGACATCTTAACCAGATCTGGCTTGACATAAGCAAACATCGACATTCCTGGACAAGCTGTATCTCAGAAAAGAACCACTGTGGGCATCAGCCAAACACTGCAAACTTGGTCAGGTTTAGATCTGCCGACTCCACTCAAGAACAAACCACGGCCCTTCACTAAAAAACAAGGAACAGCCATTCAAAATCTACGCTGGAGACAGCAGGCCTTCAACGGTCAATACATTTGGAGAAAGTTGCTAATCACAGTCTGTGAACCATACTTACGACTCATTGGATAGCAGATTCAACGATCATGTTTGAATCTCTCTGTAAAGGATTTGTTTGCATTTTAAAGGTTATTCAAGTTGGCATGTTTGATAACAGCATTGCACGGCGCGGCCAAAAAGAACAGCAAGATAACCAAGGGTGCAGCTAACTGGTGTCTGCAGGGGAGTGGAGTGGTAGATGGGGCTAGAACGGATTGTTGAAACCAACCAATCACTTGATTTCGATTGTAACTCGCCTATCAATGGCGCCACTCGGGGGGGCGTCTCAGTGTCGTGATGCGGCTGCGGCAGTCTGTCAAAATATGTCCTGACGAAACGCTCCACGGTGCAAAATAGATTACAGACCATTTCCTTTGATAAATGCACCAAATCAGCGGATCTATCATTCAGTCCCATATTGCAAGCAGTGGCGGTGCAATCTTGAAAGGTGCTCTGTACAAAACCTTTGCTCTTGCCTTTCCGAGGTTGTGTCAATATTCAAAATAAACACACAAACCATAAACACACAAACCATACAGCTATATAGCCACTGCAAAAAGTAACAAAACGAACACAATGGCCAGATGCATTTCGTTTCTGCTTCCAAAAGCCTCCACCATCATTTGCCGTACTGTCAGCAGCTGGAAAGCGGCATAATAAACCCCATTACAGCCTACTGCTGCGTACTTGTTCAGCTCTCGTTATTTGTATTTATAAAATACAAATTTTAGGTTGCTGCCCCATCAGCAATGCCGGCCTGTGCGACTGCAAATTATGCACATGCTAAGAATCACCACTGACTGAACGTTTTTAGATTTATCTATCTGAGAAAAAGAGACCCAAGCACACGTCCTTTGAGAACCAGATGGAAGCTAGCAGACATCAAACAGGATGGCAATGCCTCTTCCATGGTAATGCCTGCATTATCAGTAAAATTGGTCTACAAAGGTATTCTGAGAGTGTTAATAAAATGTAAATATTACTGCAAGCGAATGTCAGGCAATACAATTATATTTTTCATGCATTAGCCTTTGAAAAGATTCCAATGTCTAATTGTACTTTACATTATTAGACCATTCATTATTCTGCAAAATGGAGATTGACAGAGCAGCACAATATTAGAGAAGAATATTATGACTCTGCACCCCCCCCCCCCACAAAACCGAATTTCAGTACGGCACACAAGAGAGGATTACCTTGAATGACAATGTCAACAATAAGACAAAATAATATTAGTTTTGCATCACTAGCATCACTCGTGTGCCAATAAATGAGTTGTGGGCCCACGTTCAGTGTAGAGTGCTAATGCGAGCATGTGAACACGAGTTAAACATGCAATAACGATAACGTTCTGAAATTTAGTTTTGCAACACCGCGTGCTAACATTCCAGCAAATGAATAGTGACACGTTTTCACGAATCACAAGTTTACCGTGTCATGAAAGAGTTCGCGTCGGCACTTAGCATGGTGGTTAGCTGCAGTTAGCTCGAGCCTAGACTTACCACTTCTTTCGCCTTGGGAGAGAAGCCATTCTTAGGTCTGCTTCGCTTGAAAATCTCATCTTTGGCGGAATCGAAACCTATCCCTATCGCCTTGTTTCTGGTTTTGACCGTTTTGACACTGGCTTTGAAAAGTAGCGTTATGTCCACAGCCATGTCTGTGAGACGAACAGCAGTTCGGGGACTTCCTCCTGTAAACAAATTGACACGTCACCCGGACGTGACGTCATTTCCACGCGACGACGTTTACATTCAACTGGAGGAACAGAAAGGCTCAAAGTCCGCCTCAAGGTTTTCCGCAGGACAACGAATTACAGCGTGTTAAGGACATCATATTTTGCAATCTGGAGCTACGGTGCCCGTTATGAAGTTGCGCTTTACTCGATCTTCATTTCGAGCTACTTACCTTTTAAATATCTGTGTGTTACATACATTGATAAAGCCTGTGAGAGGTCTTGACTTTTAGCAAATCATTTTGAAATCCCGATTTGGTTGGGCTGATTTCTACTTTTCTGTGCTGTCTTCCAGTAATCTCTAAAACATAATCAATTAATCATGCCACTCCAACTTGAGGCGATGTCAAGCAGAAAGCGCAGACCCAATTGGACTGACCAGGAGTGTTATCTTCTTGCTCAGCTAGTCCGCGAAAGAAAAGAAGTAATCAGAGGGAAGTGCACCACCGGTTTATATGATAAACGGCAGGCCTGGGACGAGATAACGCAAAACATCAACTCAGCCTTTCCACAGATGCAGCGGACTGTGTCTGACTGCAGCAAAAAGTGGGAAAATCTCCTGGCAAAGTCGAGGGAGGAGATTAAGCGACAGAAGATGCACACGGGTACAGGTGAGTAACATTTGCAGCCTCTTGTACAATGTGTTCTAAAATTTTATGCATACATGAAGTAGGTGAAATCACCATACCACTTTGTAATGTCCTGATGGATGGTTGGTGAATATGTGCCATGTGCCAAGAAGTTTCTAACTGATCATTTTTCCTGCCACGGTATTAAAAAAAAGCACCTTACCCTGGGCAGCAAAATAATTGCCATGCAAGACAACACGGCATTCCACACTGCACAAAATAGCATTGAAGCTGTGGCGGCTACAGGGATCAAGGTCAACTCAGGGTGTGCCAGCATCATCACTTGACCTCAACCCCAATGAGAACCTGTTGAGCATCCTTGAAAGGAAAATCTTAAGATGGTAGACAGCAATACATCTGCAAACAGCAACTTTCACATGAAATTCTTGCAGTCTTAAATAGGATCTAATGTGTGTATGCCAATATGTAACTTGATTAGGAAATACCTTTGTTGGTCAAAATGGCTTTTAAAACCTTTTTTGAAATTGTCCCCATGTAACGAAATATTCCTTCAGACTTCTTTAAAACCAAACGTGTTGGTTAATTATGGGCTTCTGCAGTTTTTTATTTTTATTTGATTTAGCAGTTGATAATGTGAGCCATATGCCATCTTGTACTGTATTTTTAGCAGTGAAAAACTGGCAGCTGTGATTGCCAGTTAAAAATATTCAGTGAAATGCATAGATGACATGGTGAAATGAACAAAAACTGCATATGGAAAAATGAATATAATGAGCAAATAAATGTATGAAAAAGAATAAAAATGAATAAATTGCAACACAGTGTTAGCCCTTAAGTTTGGTTGTGTTTTTTTAAATGCCATCTATACCATAATCTGTGTCCAAAGATAACACATTGCTGCTTTTCACAGATGATGACCTGTCCTTGGATCAGTTCAGTGCTTTGACCCAGATTGTGATTTCTGTGATGAATCCTTCAGTACTGCAACAAGATGAAGACTCCCAACCTTTTGACCTGGTGGAAAGTCAACAAAACAGGTGTTGTATTGATCATCAATATTTTTCGGCCCGTTTCATAATATGATGTACAGTGGTACCTTGACTTACAAATGTAATTCTTTCTATATTCATACATCTCAATTCAGTTTGCTTGTATGTCATATCAATTTTCTCTATCAATTGTTTGTCCAATTCAGTACCCACCTGAAAGTGTTTTAAAAAAAAAAAAAAACAATTCACTCAAGCAGCGGCCTATCTGAAGCTCGTTCTTCACTCAACCAACGGCTCTCAACGGAAAGCCAAAACTCAACTAAGCAATGAGTTGTAACTCGAAAAAGCTTGTAGGTTGGTCAAGGTACCTCTGTAATAAGTTGCTAGTTGTTGACAAATCCAAAATGTCTTCCCTTTCAGTGGCACCAAAAATGGAAGCATGTTCTCCACTGGCGAGCAATTTAAAGCTAAACACGAGCAGGCGGATCTCGTGCTCCCTGCCGACGCTGCAGATCCGTCCACGACTACGCCGGGACAAAAACTGACCTCTTTTTGTAACATTCCCAAACAATTTGCAGTGCAGTTTAGCCCTCATTTTTCTGCAGCCTCCGGGGAGCAGTCCAATTCTCACTGCTGTCCTTGCACACATGCAGCACACTGCACCGCTTCGCAAGAGAGAATGGATTTGGAAATGTCGGTGCTAAGAAGACAGGAGGCAGTCCTCAAGCTTCAAGAGGAGTATTATACACTCAAAATTCAGCAGATGAAGAAGCAAACGGGAAAGTCCCTACAGGACTGAAGGCTTTCCACTTGTTGTATCTGCTTGTGTCTCGAATGCTCTGATTCATCCTTTTATTGTGGTTGGACACTAAATAATGTAGACGTATAGTATGTACTTCATATTTTTGCATCTGCGAATACAGTGAACGTTGTTTGCAGGGTTTAGGGACCAAGCGCTGATGCAATTACGGTCGTGAAAACGAGCAATCACCCCTACAACGAATTACCTAAATTCATACTTCAATCCCTACTATAAATATACACCGTACTATGATCCCGCAACACGTTAACATGATTTGTGTTTGACCAGGCCAACCCGCGAATAGCGAAAATCTGTGTGTACCGGTAATTGACACCCATTAAAATTCATTGGGGGGGATTTTATTATTAGTATTTTTCTTTTAGACACGGGAGTATTCAGCTGTCCACTGTTCTACCCTCATATCAGCCTTTTTTTTTTTTTTATGTCCACATCATCAACAAAACTTGTGGCTTCCAAATGAGGACCCAAATGCATAGAATATATTTATTTAAAAAAAAAAGAAAGAAAGGCTTTCATTGTTTCAAATTGTACTGATGTCGCTTGGGGATTACCACGATGAAATTTCTGGTATAAAATCTTTTTGGGGTGTGATATTTGGGTTTTATAATAAGAATGATCAAATCATGTTGAGGCTTATCAAAAGCAGACATTTTCAAACGTGATATTGCACCACATTATTCAGTATCTCATGTAGTGATCATAAAAATAAGAGCTTTGGCTCAAAATTTGGTGGTATTTCCATATTGATTTTTTTTTAGATCCAGTTGTTAATGTCTAATAATTGGTACATGACATTTCTTGCATAATCTCTGACTGTGATAAATTTTTTAAAAATGAAAATAGAAAAAGTTACTGATCTCATTCATGTGAGATCCAAATATATTTGCAATCTCTCAAACATTCTGAAAATATGACATGCAAAATACTGTACTGTACTTTCATTCCTCCGAATTTCGCGCCAATTTATTGTAGCCATATTTTGCAGCATGGTATTTTTCTGATGAGGTCTATTTACAAAGTAGTTTTTAAAATTATGATTTACTTTTGCATATTTTCAAACAGGAAAGCGACCAGTGTGTTTTTTTTTTTCTGTGGGAAATAGATTTCATGCTGCTTCGTAGCGTTTACTCTTGACTTGCAGTCCCCCAACATGAAAACGGTTCATGCCAAAATAAACGTGGTGGAAATAATGTCCAGTCTAGACAAAAATGTAGTAATTTGTGCGTAATATTTCTCATAAATCAGTGTCTTTGTAAGTGACCAAGCCTTACACTGAAATGTAAGCACTGTAGCCAGACTTAAAATAAAAGCCTCCTATTTGCTGTGTGGTTTGCTCATTTCCTTTGTTAGTGTTGAGGCATGCGTATGTTCAACAGAGTGCTGTACGTTACTACCGTTTCAGCATTTAAACCTTTTGTTTTTCATCCATTCTTTTTAGCTTTTCTGTGAAAGATAAACAGCTCATCGAAGACCCACTTGAGTTAAAACTGCCCAGCGTGATTGAATTCATGATACTGAATGTGTTAATGTGAGCCGTCTGTCCAAGTTTTCTTTCAACACAACAAAATTACCATTTTAGCAGCCATGGCCTGTCGTAACTGGTTTTCGGAAAACTGGCTGACAGGCATGTGCAGAAAAGCTCCTTGATGACAATTTTCTCTATGCGGCCTTCACTATGTTTTCTTAAAATCTCATTCGGCTTAGGGTTTTTATTCATTAGCTTACTTAAGACCAAAGTGTGACAAGAGGTGATGTAATAAGCTCAGCTTGTCAACAGGTTTATACATGAATACATTGGACATGTTTGAAGATAATTGCTGAAAACACCGAGATTTACTTTATGTAGTACAGTATTTAAGTGTGCATGAAACTTTTTTTCACCCATTCAGTTTTGGGGATTTTTGGGTGTTGCCCAGTGACGCACTTGAGCCTCCATCACGAGTCTCCTTGTGCCACTACCTGTACAGTGTATAATTTTGAATCTTACAGCTTTCTTTTAGTTAGTCAACTATGCCTCCGCTCCAATTGTGCATCTTCTCTGGATGGCACACGTTCCAGAACTGTCAAGTGTGATGTGTTTATGTTACATAAAGCAATATGGGTCCGTAACTAGCAGGAAGTATATGCGTGCTCATATGTCTTTTATTTCCTGGAGCCACAGGTTGATTGCCATCTGCCACTTTGTTAATAAATGGTTGACTTACACATTTATATCATGCCAAGCGATCAGTGATGTATGAGCCTGCCGCAATATGAACCTCCCGGAGCTTGTTAGCTCATGAGCTAGCTAGTGGCTAGCGTCTCTTGTTGAAGCATAGAAAACACCATAACTATGGGATATATAGAATGTATTCCGGCCACTGGAAGTTTTAATCTAATGGAGTAGGAGAAGAAATCGAAGCAACCCTTTCTGGCTTCACTAACACCTTCCTAACTTATGCCATTTGTCTAATTTGTTTCCCGATAATATTTGCGTGCGTCAAATACTTCATTGTTGAGTTATTGTACACGCTACTGTGATGCGATTTCACAGGATCGACATCGATCGTCCTGCCTACATCACTCACGAGAGGAAGCAAGCCAGATCGGGGTCCACTGATTCAAACAGTGTTGTGTAAAATTCAACTTGGTTCCCGTCAGTACAACTGGCTTTGTCACTGCTACTTAAGGAGACAAGCCGTTGCAAGTATCTGAAGTCCTTTTTTATAGGGCTGAAGCCTGAAAACATTTGGCTTTGACATCAAAGCATGAATCTTGCACAAGATAAACATTTCAACTTTTATTTTCAGATACAATACGCACATTCAGATGATACATACTTTCATACGCCCGTCATTAAAAAAAAAAATTGTAAAATTTGATTTCAGTTGTCAAACCATCAACATTGTCTGTGCATACGTTGGAGATTTGGTTTCTACGAATGTATTCAAATCTACAGAAACAATTTCATTTCAAGGTAAGGTGGAGTATTTCTTTACTCTTTATTTCTATATTTAAAAAATGAACTTCCAATGCACAAGGCATTCTTTGGCATTCCTAGATGCTATCTCTTGCTGGATGAAGTGTCAGTGACAGTATCCATTGCCCCCATTCCTGACAGATGAGCCATGTTCTGGAGTGTCCTCTGGGCAGTCCACTTAAGAGCCTCAAAAGAAACCCCTTAATCTCCACTTTCTCTTTGTTTGCGCTATTATCAGACATGTCCGTCAGGACTGCTTTATCTTCACAGGACTCATCAAGTGGCTATCTGACGTTGTCTTAATTCTATCAAAGGTTCTTATCTCATCTTTGCCTGAGGATGCGACTCCCCGAAAAAAAAAAAAAAAAAACTGGCTCTGGCTAGCGTTGCGCTTATTTGAAGTGAGCGTCAGGTCTTCATGTTTTCCAAGTGCTGCGCCCATGCTTGTAGAGTATTCTTGGTGGTGTCATGCAGTTTACCACAAACAAGCCATCTGCTTTATTTTCTCATAATAAGTTATTTAATGGGGGCGGGGGGTAATGAGACATGTCCCACCAGTGAGACAAACTGCTCAGGGCAGTTGACGGCAGTTAACAGTCTCGAAACAGTAGAGGAATGTCCGGCAGCCTGGTTGGATGAAGCGTCATGACATGGGAGTTGTTGCATTTGAGTTGGGAGCTGACCTGTCACACCCGCCGGGCTTACAAACGAGCCTCCAGACACGTCCCTCCCCGGTGTGCAAAATTCACTTTTCTTCATGTCCCTCTTCCCATGACATATGACCAAAGCTGACACTTGGTGGACTTTGCCGTGGCATGAAATTTACTCATTTGGCTTGCTTTGGTTGGCATGATGTCATCAAGGCAAACAGAGGACGGCTCTTTGAGCTCTGAAGAAATTGTAGTTCAAGAAATTCTTGAGAAATTGGTTTGCCTGAGCTCTAAATCTTATAATTGGCATAAAATCATGCCGGTTTAATTAAAACTAGAACAAAACATAAATGGCACACACACACACACACACACACACGCACACGCACACGCACACACACACACACACACACACACACACACACACACACACACAGCCTAGAGTTTGTTTTTTTATATGCTCGTCATAAGTTTGCATGACTTAGTGTAATTGTTTTGTACCACCATATTTGCCACTACCCACTTTCTGGATCTGAATCAGTAAGTATTGCATGCAAGGTCATGTGCATCCAAGTTTCCTGGAAAAATAATAATGCAAAACACATGCAGCGATAGGTTAAGTACAGATGTTGCAATCACAAATTAAGACTTTCCATAAGGCAGCTGCTGTTGCAAATGTTCACATTTGTTTAGATTAGAGTGGGCAATGCCCATTACTAAAACGACCTCAGGCACAATGTGTCTGCGCAGTGGATTAGCCACAACCGATCCTTTTATTTAGTTGGTAAAAGGACATCTGAGAAAGGATTTATTTATTTATTTTCTTAAGACAGAATCTTAAGCCTCTTTTTTTCATTTTAACGTATCCACAACCACAAACAAATTATTGATTAAAGACTACATTTTAACCATGGTCATGTTTAATAAATATGGTCAGCAGTGTCATCTCTCTCTCTCTCTCTCTGTCTCTCTCTCTCTTTCTCTCTCTCATGAATTCTTATTGATTGCCACATTCCTTAACTGGAAGTGTGTGTTACCGCTTCATATGGCCTCACTAATAGGGAGCCCAGATTAGAACATTCTGGATATGCCTGACTTGATCATTTTCCACAATGGTCTTCAAAAAAGGGTCAGCCATTGCTGTGCCAATGAAACGGGATCCTCTTTGTAATTAAAGCCAGAGAAAATTGGATCATTTTTTGCCTGGACAGCTTTCACATTCCTACCTAATATGGCACTCGAAGCTTTTTGAAGGGGCTAAATTGCTTTCCAAAATTATACCTTTCATCAGTCAATCGCTTAAAAAAAAAAATGGCGAGCTGACATTTTCAATGCCTTGTTGTGTGTGTGTGTGTGTGTGTGTGTGTGTGTGTGTGTGTGTGTGTGTTCGTGTGTGCCCGTGTTATCAAGATAAAACAGCAGTGACGGTACGATTCAAAGTCCTCAATTATAGCTTGCGCATTTTTCGAAGATGACAGGAACATTTTACTTCCTGACTTTACCTCTTGAATGGAATCTATTCAGCTTAGTTCTTGTGCAAGTAGAATGGACCGTACACGCATCTAGTTAGGCCATCCAATCGCTAGAATTTAAGAAAAAAAAAAGCATTCAATATACACGATATTTCTTTAATCCTTCCTCTGCACAATCATCATCAGTTCAATGTGAGTGCGCACGTTAAGTAGTTTTGTGCACTGTGATGTGGTTGTGAGCACGACTGCCTCACAGCTCTGAGTTTTGAGGTTCAAATCTCGGCTCCGCTTTTCATTTGTGATATGTAGGCTTTCCCTGGTTACTCCAGTTTCCGCCCACAATAAAAAAAAAAAAAGTGTTAGGTTTCAATTAACCTATGAATCGTGTGAATCTGAATGGTTGGGTGCTTGTGCCCTGCGAATGGCTGGTAAGCAGTCCATTGCATACCCCGCCTCTGGCCCGACCCAAAGGAAGATAAGTGGTAAAGTAAATGGATGGCTTCTAACTTGGTTTTGCATGCGTATGACAGTTACGAATGTTAAAAAGTGCAATGCGGGACGTTTCATTTCCTTCAGGAGTCTCTCTCTCCAAGTCCCCATATGTTACACTGGCCAGCATGTTTGACATCAGAAGGTTTCCATAGTATACTGTCAACCTTGACTGTAACCGCAAACTGAAAACTTGATATTCTCATTTACTATTTGGCGGGGGAGACCCCCGTCCCCCACCCCCACTCCTTTTTT